TGGCCTATTTTCTGTTGAACCTAAAGTTAAGAGAGACATTTTAAAAGTTAAATCCTGTTTTTGAACTTTACTTAAGAATTTCTGGCTGGGCACAGTGGCTCATGCCTGTAATCCTAGCATTTTGGGAGGCCTGAGCTCAAGCGATCCTCCCGCCTCAGCCTCCTGAGCAGTTGGGAATACTGGCACATGCCACTGCACCAGGCTACTTTTTCTATTTTTTTGAAGAGATGAGCCTTGCTTGTGCTCAGGCTGGTCTTGAACTCCTGGCCTCAAGCGATCCTCCCACCTTGGCCTCCCAAAGTGCTAGGTTTACAAGCATGAGCCGCTGTGCCCAACCACTTTTTCTTTCTTGAATTTAATTCAAAATCTATGTATTTGGCTTAATAAATCTCCTTCCTTGTTTTTGGGACAATAAAGCCAGTCATCACCCTCTCTTTGAGTAGGAGGGAAGTAGTGAGGCCTCCATGAGGACAGAACTCAGTGTGGGTACCCTTGCATGTTTCTGGCCCCTGCGTATGGGCCCAGAGAGGCTTTCCTGCCAGGGGCAGTGAGGGATGCCAAGGCACTGGGCTGGGAGTCTGAAAACTCTAGGAGTCCAGACCCAGCACTGCCCCACGTGGTCTTGTGCACTTAGGCACGTCCTTAAATCTCTGAGCCCCCATTTTCCTGTGAGGGGAGCTGAGTGCTGGCGAGAGGCAGCACAGCAGAGGTTGCCAGTGCCCGCCTGGGCTCAGACCCTGACGGCCACTCCCTGTGTGGCATGGGCACAGGAAGAACTCCCTGCCTGTTCCGCTCAGCTCATTTGTTGTACAGATATGTATTGAGCATCTACTATATGCCAGGCTGATGCTGGGGACACAGCAGGGAACAAAAAACCATTATCCCAACAACTGTCCTGAGGTTGTCTTCTGACGGGGAGAGTCAATGAACAGTCAGCTGGGTGATGGTGACTCCTGTGGTGACGGTGGGGCGGTGGCAAGTGTTACGAGGACAGAGGGAAGGGCAGAGGATACAGGCAGGTCAGGAGGTGAGAGTGCTGTAGGCTTTCTGAGGACTTGGTGAGTTACTGCGCACGCGAGCTCCGCTCAGCGCCTGGCACCTGGAAGCACTCAGTGAACGTTGCTGGCTGACATCTCTCCCAACTGCCAACCCTGTCTGAGTGCGAAGGGCAGATGCTCGCTGGGGGCACCTGGTCAGTCACCCGTCTGCGGGAGACATTCGGGTGCGTTCACTGTTGCCAGTGAGAAGCCTCCATGGATAGGCACTGACGTGACACTGTCGTGTGGTGGGTCTGTCCCAGCTGCGCCCAGGGTCAGACTTCCCCAGGGGAGGGCTACTCATGCCCATGGCACCTCGTCTCCCCTCACCACAGCCTGCACAGCACGAGCCGCTGACGGCGAGAAATGCCCAGTCTTCTAAGAAAGGGCGAGGTGCTCTAACTCAGAAATACTATTCACACACGGCAGAGCTGGAGTCCTGTCGCAGTGTGGGGATACTTTAGACTTTCCTTCTTCGTAGGGGCTCAGTGCGCCATTGTGCAAGGTGACCCCGGGTCACCTATTCGTCCTGGTGACTGGCGTTCCCAGTTGCCTCAAGCCCGAGGATGCGTGGAGTCTTTGCTACAGCCCCTCCCTGGTGGCAGACAGCTGCTTGTCCTTGCTGGCTGTGAGCGTTGTCTGGCCTGCTGCCGTTCCCCGGGAGACGCGTTCTACCTGCCCTGGTTCCCGTCTCGGCAGGAAGACAAACTGCAGGTCTTTCCAGGTGGTTGTCGTGCTCCTGCTCTTGGGTGTTTTTATTGTGCTGTGTGGATGACAGATGCTGGCATGCTCCTGAGGTGTCCCTTCTCCTCGCTACACAGTTCCTGCCCTGCCCAGTGCCCCCAGCACCTGAAACGTAGCTGTCTGCTAAGTGACAGCCACGTCTTCTCCCGTAGTGACTCTGCTCAACCCGGAACAGACCTCAATGCGGTGGCCTTTGCCTCTGCAGCCTCCCAGCCTCACACTGGCCCCAGCCCAAGCAGCCAGTGCCCTACACTCTGAACACCTCTCTCCCCACTGCCCAAAGACGTTCAGTAGCTCTCTATCCTGTGCCAAAAGTCTAAACTCTCCCAAGCTGTGAGATGTGGTGAGACAAGCATGGGCTTTGGGGCAGGTGGGCCGAGGCTCAGATCCCAGCTCCTGTACTCGCCAGGCCTGTGACTATGACCCTTCACTTCTCTGAGCTCAGCCTTTATCTCTGCAGCGGAGGCGATGCTGCTACTTGACGGGGTTGGGCAAGTTAATGTGTATCCAGCACCTAGCGCAGCTTTCGCCACACAAGGCAAACACAGAAAACACTACCTTCCCGCTTTTTCCTTTCTATCCTTACAGTGGCCAGCACAGGGTAGGGCCTAGAGAAAAAGCTGCTGAACGTAGTAGTCAGAAGGTACAATATAAGAAGCCACTCTGGGCTCTGCCTCCTCTCTGTTTGCTTCATCTTCAGCCTAATTCCCTCTGGTAGCAGAATGGCTGCCAAGATCCAGGCCTTGCATCCACACCCCTCATCATCCAGAAGAGAGAGTCAGGTTGCTTGAATCAGCCGTCGTGGTCTAGCCTTGTTGCTGGGGCTGGAGTCAGTCCTGGACAAACAGCAGGACTGCTCCACAGTGGAGGGGGAGCAGGGGCCAGATGCTGGGAGGACAAGCTGCCCCAAGACAAACCCTCCTCCTCCTCCTGGGTCCCATCAGTTTCTGTCACATACGTCATGCAGCAACAGGCAGATAGTCTCCCATGACACGGTATGTCTCAACAGAGAAGTTCCTGAGGCTCCAAGCTGGAGCTCTCCAGCACACCGAACTGCCGACTCCGGCAGAGTTTGACTGTTTTGTGCGAGCCACTGGTCTCTGGAGCTGGTCGTGCTCTGGCCTCGTTTGCACGTCTGCGTCACATTGTTTCACACTGATTCCACCTTTCCCAGTCAGCTCCACAGGTGCAGGCGTGTCTGCTTTGCCTGCTGCAGGTATCTTTGCCTGCGGGTGGCTTCTTCACACCTTCTTGGTGCTCATGTGTTGACCACAATGTGGTCCCCAGGCTGCGTCTGTGGCCCAGTGTCTGGCCTATGCTACACCTTGCTGACATCCAGTTTAAACTGCTGTGACTTTGCCCTCAGTGGAAGGCCACCCTCCAGTTTGAGGTTTGATTCCAGTTGTCTTTGCAGGATGAGCCCAGGCTTCTACAAGAACGTGGTGAAGATTCAGAAGCACGTTACCTTCAACCAAGTGAAAGGCATTTTCGGCTTCACCGACAGTGACTGCATCGGTAAGGGGCTGCTGCCCGTGGACCCCACCCGCTCCCGCCGAAACAAGAGCTGAGTTCAGGAGGAGACAAACACCGGGGTTAAAGTGTCTCTGAGATATTAGCATTTGCAATTGTCTCTTAAAATAGGACCCCCAGACATGGGTTTCCCTGGGACAGAATGCACCGAGCCACTTTCCTGAGCTGTGTGAAGCTGTACGTCAGGATACAAGCCTGTCCTTCTCCTCAGCCATCCATTTTAAGGTTTAGAAGAAAGAAAAATATAGGGACCACTTTGGAGTTGTGACGTCTCTAGTGAGACCCATCAGTGTGGAGCAGCCGTGGGTGGAGCCCAGGGATGACACAGGAGGACAGCTGGGTCTGCCACCCACTCACAAAGGAGCCTGCAAGTCTTTGTCTTCCTGGGCCTCAGTTTCCCCACTTGTAAAATGAGGGGCTTAACTGGAGGCCTCTGGAGCCCTTCCCACCCCTCCCTCACGCCCCCTCCGTGGCTCTGCCTCCAGCTGGTGTGCACCGTTTACCCGCTGCGCGCGCACGTTTATGGGTTTCCATGTCTTTCCGGTGCGTTGGCCCTGTGGGCTTTCATCTCCTTAAGACCTGTGGCTGGGCCTCGGGACCCCGCCTCCGCCTCACTCCGGCGCGCAGCTCCAGGCCTAGCAGGCCTTCGGCGAAGCTGCCAGCCAAGACGGCCCCCCAGGATACACCTCTGGGGCTCTCCGTGGGGAGAGTTTGCCTGCTTGGGGGGAGCACATTCCAGGGGCCTGTGAGTGAGGGCCCTGCAAGGATAAGCACGGAGAGAAACGCCACAGAGAGCGCTTACTGGGAGGCTTGTCACAGAAGCAGAACCCTTCTCTTTGATGTTCAAATTCATTCCTGACAGTTGGGACATAAACCCTGTGGCTTTTGAAAGGGATTTTTATCCTTGGAATCCTGGCACCTGGTAGGATGACACCACGGTGAAGGCTGTGGTGACCGAGGCAGCAGTACATGATGAATAGCTGCACACGCCTTGCTTCCCAGAGACCCAGGTTTGAATCCTGCCTCAGCCACTTACTTGCTGCGTACAGGCCTTGGCCGGCCGCGTGAGCAGTCTGAGCCTGAATGTGCACTTTTTAAATGCGGGGGGCCTCCACAGAGCTGTGAGGAGGAGCTGAGCTCGGGAAAGGCCCCGGGCGGAGCCTGGCACTTTATCCGGGGAGTGGCCGCCTCTGCCTTGTGCTTTTAACCGATGGTGCTGGCGGCCCTCTTAGTCTCCCCAGAGAAAGGGGGCATCTCATTCTGAAATGGGCGGTAATTACATCCAAAATACTGAAAACTGCTTTATATACCAAAGTATTCATCATAATTTATGATAATTAAAGATAGAGAACAACCTAAATGCCCAATAATTAGAGAACGGTGAAGTAATATGATACATTGACAGAATAGAGCATATCTAATAACAAGGTGGGTAAATGCTACAAAGTGGAAAGGCAAGGGAAAAACCAAATATACTACAATCACAACTGAAATGCTTCGAGTAAAATATAAAGAAAATGGATAAAAGGACATTAATTGGGACTATAGTTTTTTTTTCTTTCAACTTTTTGTCCAGAAATTTATTTCCTTTTTTTTTTTTTAAGTAGAGACGGGATCTCGCTCTTGCTCAGGCTGGTCTCGAACTCCTGAGCTCAAACAATCCGCCTGCCTCGGCCTCCCAGAGTGCTAGGATTACAGGCGTGAGCCACCTCACCCGGCCAACTTTTCTGCATTTTTGAGGTTTTCTTTATTGACTGTTTTATAATGGGGAGAAAACCTATTTTCCTTCATTCCTTTATTAGTTAACCAGAAAAGGAATTGGTCTCATGTATAAAATGTTCTTTTCTTGGTTTCAGGGAAGATCAGCTTTCCTGCCATCCAGGCTGCTCCCTCCTTCAGCAGCTCATTCCCACAGATCTTCGGAGACAGGACGGACATCCAGTGCCTTATCCCATGTGCCATCGACCAGGTCAGCAGGCAGAGCTGGGTCTGAGTCTAGGGTGCTGGCAGCAGGTTCCTTGTGCTCTTCAGTGGGGCGAGGAGCCGTTGAATGATACTAGGGCAAGAGGGAGCCGATTGCTGTGAACTGAGTGGAAGCTGGAGCGTCTTCTGTGAAGATCCTCTCGGGGGCTGCTCGTTGGCTGGAAGCCGGCCGTTTGACCAGCTGCCCTCATCAGACCCCTCTCTCCCCACAGGATCCTTACTTTAGAATGACCAGGGACGTCGCCCCCAGGATCGGCTATCCTAAACCAGCCCTGCTGCACTCGACCTTCTTCCCTGCCCTACAGGGTGCCCAGACCAAAATGAGTGCCAGCGACCCCAACTCCTCCATCTTCCTCATTGACACCGCCAAGCAGATCAAGACCAAGGTGAGCAGTGCCCCGGGCAGAGCGCGGCCAATGAGAGCAGAAACACACCTGGGGACGCATACCCCCCCACTTGCTCAGTCCTTTGGGCACTGGCTGCCATAGCAATGCTGAATTCCAGGGCTGCCAGCTGTGTGCCCTGCATCCCTGCAGGCAGCCTGTCCCTGTTCCCAGACACCAGGTGCATTTGTTTTGTTTGTGTCCTTTCATCTAAGTAAAATTCTGAATTTTTTTTCTTGCTTTTCTTACTAACACACTGTTCTAGAAGCAAAGTCATGGCAGTTTGCTTAAAGTTATAATCAGTGTGGATGTTATTAAACATAGAAAAGCTGTTCGTGTATTTCTGAGCACTCTCTGTGTTCCAGGTGCTGAGCCAGGTGCCTTAGTTGTTTTCTCTTCTTAACTCTCTCTGGGAGCTAGCAGTGCTGCTCCTTTCGAAGATAGAGAAGTGCGGCTCAGAGAGGATCACCCACTGGACCAGCTGTCTACCCCCAGAAATGAGCACCATTGCTAAGGGGGGCTTAGGAGCTGATTTTCTCCCACAGACGTTCTCACTGAGGGACACAGAATTGGGAAATGTCCTTCAACAGGGCGGTCCTGCCGGCCCTGGGAGTGCTACATGCAGCAGGCACTCGGTAAATATTTGTCAAGTTACCAGAGAAACTAGAAATAGAACTTAGTTTGAGCTTCCTTATTTTTCAGGGCCCCAGACTATCGCTAAGTTCTGAACTGCCAGTATGCGTGTAATCCCTTCACTATTACGCAAAGCCATTCCCGTGGAAACAAGCATGTGTCTGCGGACTGAGTGATTGCAGAGGAGTGACGGGAACTGTATGTTAGGCGTGTAATGCAACCATCTGAATCACTGCCAGGCCCTGACTCTTCTGGAAAGTCCCAAGCAGGTTCTGGTTGACAGTGGGGAAAACCTTCATATCAAAACCTTCCTTTAGGAAATGACCTCCTCCAAGTCTCCCCCTCAGCTGGAAGCTGGTGTAATTGGGACTTTTTTTTTCCCTTTCACTTCTAGCTGAAACTTCCAGAGCACAGAGTGCAGAGGACGGGGAGGGAAGGGCCAGAAGAGAAGTCATCTGTTTTGTTTTTGCTTTCGAGAAGTTGTTTTGAAATAATTGCCTATGGCTCTGGAGCATTTTTCATCCACTTAGAGACCAGCAAAGACCTGGAGGGCTGGGTGAGCAGTGAACAGGAGCGAGGAACCACACAGGCAGACAAAGCGTCACCAGGGCCACCAGCAGCCCCTAGGGCAGGATGAGGTCAAGCCCGGCCCTCATTCTAGACCCTCTACCTAACGCAGCTCCAGAATCAGAATCTCCTTGCCAGAAGAGAGGGAGGGTATGTGCTCAAGCCTCCTCCCGAAAATAACGGAAGCGGTGCAGTGACCGGCCGGCTTTGCTGTGTGAGCATCTGCCACATGCATGCCGTGTGATCCCGCTGAATCCTGACACCCTCCCTAGCAGGCTGTGTCCATTTGTGGTTGAGGAAAGCAAGGCTCAGAGGTCCGGCAGCCTTCTAACGTCCACGCAGCTGGGAAGCAATAGGGCCAGGATGGGAACCTGGGTCCTCCTGGACTGCAGAGCCCGGTTGTCTGGGTTCTAAGATGACAAGGCAATCCGTTCTTTCCCCTCTTATCTCTACATGGAGCACTTCTGTGACCAGGTGTATCAGAGTTTTTCCCCACACCAAGCAATTCTCCAGTGGACACCAACTGGGTATCCTATAATTCAACTCAATTCTAATGCTGTCCACCTGGAGGTAGTGGCAGATCCCACAAGTTGAAGGCCCAGTCCCAGCAGACTGCCCCTACTTCAGATGCCCATCAAGAGTCCAGGCCACCCGTTCTTCTCCCTGGCTGGCCACAAACCAGGGTTCCCATGACCCTCTCCTCGGGTTTGATTAATTTTCAAGGCTGGCTCACAGCACTCACAGAAACACATTCATTGGTTTATTATTGTGGCTATTACAAAGGACGCAGATGAGCGGCCAGATGAAGAGGTGGGTAGAGCAGGGCATGGGCGCAGCACAGGGCTTCCATGTTATCTCTGGGCGCGCCACTCTACCCTGAAGCTCAGCACATCTCTTTGTGCAAGAGTTTTTACGGAGCTTAATCTCCAGCCGCCTGTTCCTCTTGCCTTTCCCAGAGACTGGTGGGTGGGGCTGAAAGTTCTGACCCTCGAATCCTCTAATCACTTGGTCTTTCTGGTGACTGGCCCTATCCTGAGGCTTTCTGGGGCCCCACCCTAAGTCACCTCATTTGTATAATCTCAGGTGTGATCAGAAGACTTAAAAGATGTTCCTATCACTCAAGAAATTTTTTAGGAGCCAAATATTATAACAAAAGATGTTCCTATCACCCTCCTCACTCAGGAAATTACAAGAAATTTGGGAGCTCTGTGTCAGCAGCAAAGACCAAGCATATTTGACACTGTACCACAGGCCTCTGCTCTCCAGGTGTCCTTGTGAAGCGAGAGCAGTCGTTCTGGCTTCACAGACTGCCGTGGGTCTTCCCTGAGATCACCTATGAAAGTGTGAAGTACAGCATGCCGCCCTAATCTAAGGTTTGAGTTCAGTGAACAGCTGGCAGTGCGGTACTGTATGAGCAGAGACGCGGCTCTCCTGGGCTGTCGCGGGACCCTGCCAGAGCCCCCAGAGTCAGCCAGCACCTTTCATAGGCAGCCCTTTTCAGTGGGATCTTACGGCCAGGCGCAGCGACTCACCTGTAATCCCAGCATTCGAGAGGCCAACAAGGAAGGATCGCTTAAGGCCAGGAGTTCGAGACCAGCCTAAGCGAGAATGAGACCCCATCTCTACAAAAAATAGAAAAATTAGCTGGACATGGTGGTGCACCTGCGGTCCCAGCTACTTAGGAAGCCGAGGCAGGAGAATTGTTTGAGCCCAGGAATTGGAGGTTGCGGTGAGTTATGATCGCGCCACTACACTCTAGCCTGGGAAACAGAGCGAGACCCTGTTTCAAAATTAAAAATAAATGAATGCATGAATGAATGAGGGATCTCTTCTATAGGACAAGGACAGATATCCATAACAAAGGTTGCCAGCCTGGCCACCTACCTGTGCTTTCTGGTCACAGGGCCCCTTTCCAGAGCAGGCCTTGGGCTCCAGCTCAGCCGCAGCTCACTGGCTCTAAGAGCTTGGTGGTTGAATCCAGGCTCTGCCCCTCAGCCCAGCTCCTGCTTGGCACTGCTTCCTGTCACGCAGAGATACAGTGCTCACCCGCGTCCATCATCTTAGATCCTGATGGCAGCCTTCTGGGCCCTGCCACCCGGACTGCTCTCCACCTCATCCCATACCCACTTTCCTAAGTCAGGCCTGACAAACTATTCCCCCAGCATTACTGAGCACTGGGCAGATCTGACACGTGGCAGACCTGAGCACTCACAGTTCTTCAGCACCATCCGGAAGCCTGGGGTTCTAGAGTCAGCCCAGCCCCGGCACTCCCTGCCACATGAAGCAGGTTCCTGACACTCTGGGTTTGGTTTTCTTCACCTGTAAGGCAGAAAAAGCAGTAACAGAGTCTTTGGGTCTTTGGGTTGTTGGGGATAAAATGTTTGTAATAATCCTAACAGCACTCCTGTATGGCACATCTGCTGGGTGCCCACCGTAGGACAAGGGGCTTCACCCAGGGAGGAATAACACGCGGGTATTGGGCAGTGCCCGTGCATCCTGAAAAACGTGCAGCTGACATGAGTTTCCCTGTTCTCCTCTCTGATAAAGGGCTGGGAACTGCCCTTTTAAATAACCTTAAAACTGCCCTTGGAGCCTCGAAGACTGTTTTTAGACTGTCTTGCTGACATTGGAGCTTCTTTTCCACGGCCCAGCAGGGGGCGGGGGGTGTTGGGACTGCCACACAACCAGTGACTCCATCAAGCACTTTGACCCTAGGAGAGTCCAGTACTGTTGATTTTTTCTTCTTCCTGTTTATTTGGTGTTTCCCATAGTTTTCATAGTTTGCATAAAGAGAAGGCCAACTTTCATTTCTTACCTTTATTCTTTTAGCTTCCCGGACGCGCCCACCAGCCGGCGGCTATGTTGCGCCAACTCCCCTTGTGCAAGGCCCTGCCCAGGCCTCTTGAGCAACTTCTACTTTCCCTGAGTAGCCTCTTGGCAACACCCCTCCAGAAAGGAGAGGGCTCTTCCAGACCTCACTTGTTCATGGTGACCTTTGCCCCTAGCATCCATCTGCTGCTTCTAGATGATCCCAAATTATCCAGTTAGTAATCTGCTCTGGAATTCTTCTGGAGAGACTTATTAAACTTAGCAACTTGGAATTTATTGACTCTTCCCACCCTTTTTTACCATTTAAAAAAAAAAATAGTATGACCTTTATACATAGTAGGTTTCTCAAATACTCATTGAAAGAATGTTGAAGGGATTTTGTCTGTCCTTCCTGGCTTTTATTTTCCCCACCTCCTGGCCGTAATTACTCCAAGATTATCAAGTTTATCTTCGGTGATTCCTAAAGCCATTTTGTTAGTTTCTGAGTTTTCGGCTCCCAAAAGTTTGCCTGTTTTTCAGTGGAGGGCTGCCTGCAGGCCCTTCCTGACGCCTCACTCCTCGCGGGTTTTGCTTCCCTCATGAGCCTCATCCTGTGTCTCCTTGTTCTCTTGTCCACAGTGGAGAAGACAGAAGCCCAGCTGGGGTTGGGTCCTGCTTTTGTGTGCCCTGTTAACCCAGCTCCCCGGTCCCAGGGAGCAGGCTGCCCCTCCTGGTCATTCTTTACTCTGAACACAGATTTTACTCATCCTTTTTTGAAGCTCATCATCGGAGAATACTTAGGACATTTCCCCAAAATTTCAGCCCAGTTAGTGCTTTGGTTTTCCCAACTCCATTCTCCTGTGTCTCAGGAGAGGGGGCTTCAAAGCTCATTTCCCCTCCCCTACCCCTCCCTCCTCTGCAGGAAGGAACCCTGTGGGGCCCTCCTGCCAGCTGTGGGCCTCGGCCTGCCTCTGGTTCAGAGTGTGGCAGCACTCACTGACCTGACTTCCACCACTGGGGCTCCTGGCCAGTTTCCAGCTGCAGGACAGGCAAGGCTGACGAGCGTCTCTGTGTCCTCTTCTGGCGCAGGTCAATAAGCATGCATTTTCTGGAGGGAGAGACACCATCGAGGAGCACAGGCAGTTTGGGGGCAACTGTGATGTGGACGTGTCTTTCATGTACCTGACCTTCTTCCTCGAGGATGACGACCAGCTCGAGCAGATCAGGAAGGTGAGAACGGGAGCCCTGAGGGTCTGGTCAGTCTCGGCCTCTGACACCACCCCCCCAACTCACTCACACGGGGCCTGGAGGCTCCCAAGCTGGGCATTAAGGGGTCCCTGGAGCTTCCTCAGTGTCTGGGCCTTAGGAACAGGTGCTCAACTAAAACGAGATGAAAACTGAGTAGGGTCACTCATGTTTTTTAATCATATACCGAAAAACCTCATGAACAAATCACAAAAGAGAAAATACAAATTTCTAATTATTTAGTAGCCACACAAAAAGATTTCATCTTACTAGTCATCAGAGAAATATAAGTTAACACTGTCAAAGTTAAAACAGTTCACCTGGCCGGGCGCAGTGGCTCACGCCTGTAATCCTAGCACTCTGGGAAGCCGAGGTGGGAGGATTGTTTGAGCTCAGGAGTTCGAGACCAGCCTGGGCAAGAGCGAGACCCCGTCTCTACCAAAAATAGAAAGAAATTAATTGGACAGCTAAAAATATATAGAAAAAATTAGCCGGGCATGGTGGCGCATGCCTGTAGTCCCAGCTACTTGGGAGACTGAGGCAGGAGAATCGCTTGAGCCCTATAGTTTGAGGTTGCTGTGAGCTAGGCTGACGCCACGGCACTCTAGCCCGGGCAACAGAGCGAGACTCTGTCTTAAAAAATAAAAACAGTTCACCTATGGAATTAGCAGGGGTTTTGTGTTGCTGTTGACCGTGTTTTCAATGATTGCAAACCGGATGCTCCAGGTCATACCCACGTGAGTGGAATATTTACTGGCACAGCCTCAGGGAGCAGTTTGGCCACTCAAAGAGCCCAAAACATGTTCATAGCCTTTGCCTCAGGTATTCCAATTCTTGGAATTTTTTCCAAGGAAATAATCCTGAATAAGCAAAAGCTTTTGGTGGGTGTGGTGGCTCATACCTGTAATCCCAGCACTTTGGGAGAGGCCAGAGGATCGCTTGAGGCTGGGAGTTCCAGACCAGCCTGAGCGGGAGCAAGACCCTGATCTCTACAAAAAAGTAGGAAATTAGCCGGGTGTGGTGGCGTGCACCTGTTGTAGTCCCAGCTACTCAGGAGGCTGACACAGGAGAATCACTTGAGCCCAGGAGTTTGAGGTTGCTGTGAGCTATGATGAGGCCACTGTGCTCCAGCCTGGGTGACAGAGTGAGACCTGGTCTCAAAAAAAAAAAAAAAAAGACAAAAGAAGAAGAAAAAGCTTTCCACATAAAGATGTTCCAAATGATAATAGCAAAAAAATTGAAAACAGACTCGGTACAGCAGAGGAAACGTTAAATAAGAATTGTTACGGGTGCTCGCTTCGGCAGCACATGTACTATAATCAGAACGATACAGAGATTAGCATGGCCCCTGCGCAAGGATGACACGAAAATTTGTGAAGTGTTCCATGTTTTAATGCAGCTTAAATCTAAAAAAAGAAGAATTGTTATGGGATGGATTATTGTGCAGGCGTTAACTATTTTGAGTTTTAGAGACATAAGAAAATATGCCTACAACAGTGAGTAAAGGATACCAAATTGAAATGCTTGTTCTCAAACATAGTTGAGAGATCAACTATGTTTAAATAAAACACACAGGGAAGAAAATCTAAAAGAAAATGTGAAATGTTAACTGTGCTCATCAACCTCTGAGTATTGGAATTGAGGGTGATTCTTTCTTTACCTTGCTGATTCTTTGTGGTTTGGGTACTTCATTAAGTTTGTTTGATGAGCATTTGTTACAATCAGGAAAAAAAATCGGAGATTTCATAGAACCCAATAAGGCT